CATTATGCACTGTATTATCCCAAGGTTTTTACACACACACACACACACACACACACACACACACACACACACACACACACACACACACACACACACACACACACACACCTTCATACATTTACGATTTGGTATTTAAATGCAAGGTCATCCCTACTAATTGGAATTTGTCCTAAAAGCTACAGCCAAACATAAATAATATCAACAAAAGATTATAACCCAGAACAAAAGTCATCATTACTTCTTGACCTCGCTTGAAAAATCTATACTCTGCTCACAATAGCAGACATATTGCACCAAAAAACCCCAATAAAAAAGTGCAAGCTGATATCGTGTCCCAAACACTTTGCAAATTCAGTGCATTTTGTTCCATTTATATCCTCCTCTCTACACCACACCTTTTCTTTAACATCCAACAAAGTTACACTTTACTGACTTCTCCCAAAGGAAAGTGCAAGTGCAGAACTTTCTGACATCAAGCCTTCAGCCATATAGCTGACTCTGGAAACCATCCAGCAGCTGTAAATACCTGTGCAGAAACAGCAGCGAGCACTGCAACGCTACAGAGATTGGTATTCAGAACGGCGTCTTCCAAAGATGAAGCCGCATAAAGGGTCCAAACTAGAACAAAAATGTAAACAAACCACGCTGGGCCAACTCATGTTAGATTAGCTCTGTGGTGCAGCAGTTAAGTAAACTGGCAAAAGCTGCTCTGCAAATCGAATGATAGAGTATATAACACACACATATAGATATTATATATATCTTTTGTTATTTTTAAGTAGACTTTGTAGCAGAGGACAAGGCGAAGGCTGTCAGGATGTAAACAAAGAGAAAAGAGCGAAGCAGCAGAAAGAAGGCAGAGTGACAGAAATCGGGCCCAGCAGCTCAAAGTTAGCTGTGAAATTTTATCCTTTCAGGACCGACTTCCTTTGTAGCAAAGCAGCCCAAACCGGACTGTAACATATGACAGAAGATGCATTGCAAGGGTTGTCAAACTCGTTTCTCAAGTAATGAGCCTCAGAATGGCCAGAACACACCAGTGCACACATGCAAACAGACCAAGACCCTGTTATTTTGTTCAGTCTAACATCACTCCTCCACAGCAACACAGAGCTACCCTTGCCTGTTTGCAAGCAGAGGAATATATCTTGTTGGTGTTATATCACACACATTAACTCTGACCAGTTTTAAATGGTTTTGCAGGCTACCACATGAGCGAAGCTGAGAGATTCAAACATGAATCGTGGAAGATAAAGATAGAAACTACCAACAGTGAGGGGGAGAGCAGAGAACAACGGTATGAAATAAAGATACAGAGAGGATGAAGGAAGTGTTGATGGGGATTTAGGGAGCAGCAGTGGACTTCTGCATCTTGTGGTAGTCCCTCACGAGGGAGTTTTGTGGCAGGCTGGCTGACTGCGCTGCTGTCAAACAGCATCAATGCTCTCCTTCTCTCTGGAAACAAGAGTTGTGGTTGTTTATCCATCCAAATGCAGCAAGACTGCACACTTGCTATCCACCCAAATAAAACTCACATTTGACAAAATCTGTTGTACAGTTAAATATTCAAAACTACTGTATCCCTGACATCAGGAGAGCCAGCTGACTGCACAGATAATGTATTTAAGGCTAAGCCACATCAGCTCTAAAAGTGTAAAGTTAAACCCACAGCCTCAAATCTGCACTACTGACTTACGGGAGAAGAGAGAAATAGAAAGTGCAACACAGAGGACGCTATCATAGGTTTTTAGCTGTGGTCCATCATACAATTTGATTTAATCCTGCTGTGTCCAAGGATAACTGCTTATCTTAATCCTACGAACAAAATGTCAGAGGGAAAATGGCCCAGTGGAGAAAACAGAAAGACAGACTAGAAACACCATGGCTGCCGTATAATTTGGATGCAAAGTGCACTTTCTTGGTGTAAACTATGTGCATTACTATTGCTGAAAATGAAAATTACAAGATTGTGAAGGCAACTGTCATGCTTGCTAATATTTCCATCTTGACTAAACATCTAATACTGAATTCTTCTACAATGAAAATGTCTTCACCATGCATTACAATAACCCTGCAATTCACATGCCTGATCTACTGCTGTTATTTTAAGGTCTGGCTAACTTCTCTATCTTATCCATTTCAGGGTCATGTGGGAGGGCCGGAACCTATCCCAGCTGTCATGGGGCAAGAGGCAGGGTACACCACAGACAGGTGATCAGACTGTCTCAGAGCCAATAAGGACAGACAACCATTCACACTCACATTTACACCTACGGCCAATTTAGAATCAGCAATTAACCTAACTTCACTAACTGTGACTGTGAGAGAGAACCCAAGCTGAAATCCAAATTCCATGCACCACATAAAGCCAGGACCTTAAGTAGCTAATTTCTATTTAAGGAAAACTGGTCCATGGTTCCTTTCTTTACACTGTCTTGCAACCTAGATGGCAACCATGTAGCATGGAAAACATACAACATTCTTCAGCTTTCTGACCACTGTCAATACACAGTGCAGTATGCATTTTTTCATTTAAAAAAGCAAGTCTAAAGCTGAGTTCAAACAGAGGCTCCCCTGTCACACATCACTTTGAACCACTTTGTTGATCACTATTGGACATTTCAAGCTTCGGTTGAGAAGTCATTCCTCTAATGTATTTACCAGCATCCTGTGCCTCCTCATTGGGAGTCATCTCAATTGTTTATCACATTGTTGAGAAAAAGTTTAAGTCAGAACCCTCCCACTTCACAACACCGTCATTTTTTCCACCCAAATATCATTGACTATCTGTGGTCTCGGGTAACCATATCACCTTGAATAGCTTCCTGTGTGGCCTAAGTGCAGAACTGCATGACCCCAGCCATGGCAGTTATGCTACCACACTTTCAAAATTACAGTATTTTTCAAACAGGCTGTGTTACACCAGGATTTCACCCATCAGTGCTGAGGTCTTCTGCTCATCAGTGAACACCAACTTCAAACTAGAGCATAACTTGAAATGCAATCTATCTGCATATCTGCATGCAATCTATTAAGCATACATGGATGAACGGGTCCAAATATTCACAGTTACTGCTAAGATACCTCATTGGCTAAATGCAGGCCAACAATATTGCAGATGCAAATTGCATCAGAGTGATGACGTTTGTATTAAAGGCTAACAAAGGCAAACAAAAATGTGTTTGTCTCTAATAGGCAAACTCTTTCTAACTGATTTTAAACACATTTTTGGATTTTCTGCATTTCTGCTGCTTCTCTCTTACAAGGCGTTTATATCAGTCATTCACTGGGAAACATAATATGGGCGTCCAGTCTGCTAATGTGTCCTTCGGCAAGTCATTAGATTTCCACAATGTCAACTGCAGGTGACTCTGACATCTGACCTTTAACAGAAGCTGCCATAGCGAGTGAAAGTGCTTTTCATTAACTGGAATCTTATGTGATTAACAACTTGCCAGGAAGTTGACTGCTTCCGATTAGACTGGGTACAATTTGGAGTAATTTGTCTTGCTGTTTGCCATTGTTGTCCCCTCCCCACCTCTTACATTCACCATTTACAGGAAGTAAGCATTCATGCTTTGATTAACAGCTCCTCTCACATGTGGATGCACAATGTGGTGCCTGAATTCAACACACAATAGACGAAAATCACGCTTTCTTTTTTCTCTTTTTTTCTTTCACCCTGCTGGTAGCCACGTGGTTCTGCTGCTATTCACTGCCTGATTAGAGAAAAATGATTTATTTTACCTTGACTACCAATCATGTTACAGCGCCATATGGCAAACGCATTACATAATTGCTTGCTGATCGATTTCGCCAGCAGCTCAGGTGTTTGACTTTTCTGCTTTAACATATGGCAAAATAAGGGTGCTGTGGTTAACATGAACTGAAATTCTGCAGCTCTCCAGCTCACATACTTCTCATTTGCACATATACGCACAGCTCAGCTTACTTCAGAGCTTTGTATCTCTTAGTAGGTGCGTGTGCACCGCTGTGGCTAATTCATCTCATTGCCTACAATCTTTTAAACAACAGGGAAGCAGAACAAGTGACTGTCAACTGCAAAGTATCGTACAGTAAACCAGACGTAGCCCCTGGAAAAGCTGCTCTGTTGTCTCCAGCAAGAAGGGGATAAAACATAAAACATAATGCGAGCCACTTAATTTACGATGGTGAATTAATGGGTGCTGACAAGCTCAATAATTTTTCAGACGCAACAGATAACAGTTATAATCATCAGCCACGGAATCAAGTAGTCAGTGAAGAGACAGGGTGTGTGTGTGTGTGTGTGTGTGTGTGTGTGTGTGTGTGTGTGTGTGTGTGTGTGTGTGTGTGTGTGTGTGTGTGTGTGTTCAATATTGCATTCTGGCCAAAGCAGGTCCCCATTAATGGCGGACCTTGCGAGTTAATGTGATATTGTTTAGTTTATTACCGTCCAATGTCTGCCAGGACCCAGACTACAGAGAGCTGGGTCAGAGCCAGCACTTGCTCCTTCTCCTCTCTGCGCCTTAACAAAAACACGTACAGCACAAGAATCTTTTCCTGAACCGACTGCACTGTCAGAGTACAAGCTGTAGCCATGCTCAGCCTGTACTGAATACCTCTGCACTGACCATTCATTGCACCGTGATTCATTAGCCCCAGTCGTTTAAGCCACTGATAATCACTTTTTACATTGTTGATGGATTAACAATAAAAAAAAAAGATTTTAAACGAGAATGTTTTTAACAAAGTGAGATCCAGAGCATGCATCCTGTGGTAGGTGCATGATTTCATTAGGGATTTGAATGGTGCTTCACTCCAATAAGCTGAAACCATAAACAACACAGAATTTCTCTGGGCATTGACAGCAGGGCGGTCACACAGGAAAACACGCTACCTCGTCTGATAACTTGTGTTATACAAACAGCATGTTTCAGTGTCTCTTACTCTTTCTCTATTAGTGAGATAGTCGATGTTGTGGGAGAGCACAGCTGCCCTCTATGGGTGTGAAAACATACTTCCAACCTCCTGGCAGAGAGGCAGCCCTGATTTCTTCTTCTGCTGCTGCTGCTGGATCATGGCTGGAAGAAACGGAGAGGTGCTATTGTCAGAGCTGAGGTGTTTAACACTAATTAGACGGCTTATCTTGCTAAATTTGCGTCAAACATCGCTCCAACAGCATGGAGACATTTTTGTTAAAGGAGGATTTCTAGGCACAGTACAACCTATTTGGCTCACTTGGAATGTGAAGCATCTCTCATCTGTTCACATCATTTTTTTTTATGCTTGTAGAATATACCTCCCACCCCACCTCAGCCTGCACTCCTCCTGTATCTCTGGCTTTCGAATTCCATACTTTTGCATGCCAAGTTCAATACAGCACAAGGAAAGGCTGTGTTTTTCTTTGCTCTCTCCTCTGTGCCCCATGCTATCTGAGGACACAAACCATAAACAACAAGGTGGAAACACACAGGACTGTTCTGGCAACAGATTTTATAGAGCAGGCCCAAACAAATGAGGTCTGCATGTACGCTGACTGAGCTTCAAAGAGCGTGTGGAGGCCGCAGTTCATATTTCCAAGCCGGCTGGCCTCTCTCTGCTGCACCACAGAGACCTCTGGAGATGTAGGAAGCATGCTGCTCTGAAGGAAAACTGTGCATGAATCCTTCCAGCCACTCAGAGGCCTTCTCCCTGATCACATTCAACATGTTGTGATCTGTGATCCAGCAAAGACATGAGAGGATGAAAGGAAGACGTAAGATCTCCGACTCTGAAAACATTCATTATCATGTCAAAGCCGGTCAAGTTGTGGTTTTAAGAGAAAATATGCGGTTCTTTTTGCCAGGAAAAACACTTCCAATGGCAGTCGATTCTGGAGGTCTTAGTGAAAACGAAAGAATAAGACTGTAGCTCGTTTTTCAGTTTTGAATGTTCCTGTTTCCAGTGCTACTCTTCCATTGAAAGTTGCTGGTTTGGGAGCAATTTCAATAGTCAGGAGCTCACTCTTGCATTACAACAGAGGTTCCCAAAGTGGGGGGGCAGAGCTATAGCAGGGGGGGCGCGGTATGAAAAGAAGAAAAAAAAAAGAACGCTTGGACACTGCAAGCATAATGGACAGGTTTTTGACGGGGCGCCCACACAAACGCAAAGCAGGAGATGAAGCATCGCTGAATATGTTTCCAAACCAGCTTCCTTCCAGGCCAAAGACTAGAAAATATGGTGAAGCAAATCTTCCCTTTGGCTTCACCTGCACAAGTGCCGAGGTAGGTCTCCCCTGCAAAATTGGTTTTCCCTGCGTCTGGAGCAGCGCTGGGCTCTCCAGATCACGGACAAACAGTATCCCACATTCTTGATTTTTAGTTCACAAACACTTCTTGTAATGACTAACTACTCCTGACATTTTGGAGATGTTAGCTCTTTATACAGTAAAGTTACAGCGGGATACAAATAACATCAGGCTGATCCTGCCACGATTTGTTCCCTGGGTTTAAATCACGGACAAACAGTATCCCACAGCTGTTTATGTTTTTCAACCCATTTTCCACAGAGAGGCATTTTTTGAAAAATGTATTGATAGCAATGTTGAATTTTATTACACAGGTAAAAAACAACTACATGTAAAATAATTACACCGTGACGCCTCTGCCTTTGTAAATGGAGCGACAGTAACTGCATGTGTATATGTGCGCGTGTATAACCTGAAGATAGTCAGATTAACAGTAACAGTATTTTGTCTCTATCTGACATTCTGCAATTCATCTCACATAAGATTTTTCCTGTAAAACAAAGGGGGGCCTAGCAAAAAAAGTTTGGGAACCACTGCATTACAAGATCATGTTTACAGGATGTTTCAAAAGGATTCATCAGTCTGTGTAATACAAATAAGCTATATTTAAAAGATATTTCCTTTTATTCTATTATCGTGTTCCTTGCACAGCACTGCCTTGTAGAAAACGTCTTTATCATCTTTATAGGGGAAGACATGGGGGCTAAATAATACATTTGTAATGGAAAAACACTGATGTCCCTAATAGGAGGTGACAATGGTCTGTACCAGAAGGATCATATATTGCCATATACGCTGTAATATAGTGTTTTCTAAATATAGTTTAACAAAACTAGGATATTGATTTAAAAGAAGGAATAAAAAAGACTGGACTTAGGCAGTGTTCATCTGATACTACTGAAATACAGTTTGGCATTGTGGCACCAGACGTTGCCTGTGGAGCAGAGGAGAGATGAAGCAAATTCCCTATGCCCGTGTCAAAAACGCTGCATAAACTCTCCCCATTAGAACTGCAGAAGTCAGGTAACGGAACGAGGGCCTGACCTGGCTGCCACTCCTACTGCCCTGTCATCCATGGCAAACGCACCAGAGGCCAGAGAAAAGCCGAGCAGCTCTGAAGCAAGAGGAGGAATGAGAACAGAGAGCACTGTAGTGTGGTGAGGGGCTAAGCAGTAGCTTAGACTGTTACACCAGTTAGTGCAACAACTGCTCCATTATGCTGGATTGCAGACCTTTGGCTGCCAGACAGCATTAAAACACACTGCAGCAACATTTACAGCAACAATGAGAGTACAAGCACACTATATCAGTAATAATGAATCACTCACTTATGCACTCATTCAAACACAGCCTCCTGTGCTCCGTCGCTTGCCCACACTCAACTAAGTCCCTTGCTTGCTCGCTCAATTGCTCATTCACTGGCTCGCTCAGTCATGCACTTGCTCAGCAATTCCCTCACTAATCTACAGACATCTGCATACACACACACACACACACACACACACACAAATATCTACAATCTGTATTTTACAAAAGACACAAAAGCAATAAGAAAGCATGCAGAAAAACCATGAAAGCGTGTGTAAATGCAAAGTATTAACTAGAACCACTATGGAAGCAAAGCTGTGTAGCTGCCTTGTTAATGGTACTTAACATATCTGTGTTTTGTTAGATTTGAAATGCATTCTGTACAATATGTGGGAGTGAATTTTCTGTATTTAAGCAAAAAAAGGTTAAATTATTTGCACTTTTATTAGTCCATGGACAATTATTAGTCCATAATCAACACTATAAAGGCCATCCAGCAAAACTGTGAGGCTCACTGGGATGTTTTTTGGGGGGTTATAACATACCTTTGTGGCATAGAGGAATAAGATACATCAAGCTTTGGCTGCACGGCGTATTAATAGGATCAGTTCATTGTTGGTTTAAACCTTTTCACAGGATTTATTAACAATAAGATTTATTCTTTACAGCAAAGTTTGCAACAACAGAAGAGAAAATACAGCATTAGAAATAAGGGAGGAGATGATCAAGATGAAAGAGAAATACTTGACCAACTAAAGCAGTGAAGAGTCTATTGATAGCCTTCACTGATAAAATGTCGTGCATTTTATGTGTTATTTTCAACAATCAGTCAATATAGCTTTTATTTTTCTCCAATAACAGACATGTGGAGACAGAACTGTAATTAATTTTACAGAAGCTATTTTCGTGACGTGAGTAGACACGATCTGCATGGGGGCTTATGATACCACCACTTTTTAAAAGGGAATTATTTTTAAAGTTCAGATTAAAAACAGTTCCACAGTGATGTTTTCATGGCTACAGTAAAATCTCAGAAAATTTCAGTTTTTCTCTGGATCTTGTTTGCTTTTTCACTTATTTTCAGTCCAGTCCTTGTACCTGGCCATTTTCAGAGCAATGTCTTTTTTTCTTTGTTAATCTACTTGAATGACCTATTAATCATTTAAAGCATGATCATTCAGTATTGTATCTACAGACTTGGCAAAAAAACTACTTTTGATTGTATCCTTAGGCATAAAAAAGTATTTTCCTTACACCCAATACCTTATACCAATAAGGTGATTTACAAAGTGTGATTAATGGAATATGTGGCATATTTCAGCATGATGTGCAGCGTGTCCTTAAAAAAAACCCAGGAAATTGGACAAATGGAGGAGTTAAAAAACTATTTACAGCAGACCAACAGGAACTGAAAGTCATGCTCTTAAGAACTAGAACAAAAAAGACAAACACAAGACCTGAGAGACGCATCTGGCCCTTCAGTTGACCCATCTACTGTTCACTGAAACCTCATCAGAAATGGTCTCTGTGGAAGGATGCCTGTCAAGAAGCCATTCTCAAAGAAGGGAAACTTATACAAGAACTGGACTGAAATCTAGCGGCAACAGCTCGTACAGAGTGATGAATCCAGCTTTTACATTTCTGGTTCAAATCATCAAAAGTATATACCGAGGAGGTGAAGCAGTGTGGGATCATCTTGACAGAGAACAGAACAACTGAAAGAAGAGCTTTCAAAGTCCTTCAAGAAGCCTGGAGAACTATTCTTAAAGCCTGCTTAAAAAAATGACAAGAAAGCTTACTGAAGATAGTTCAGGCTGTGTTAAAGAACAAATATTGTCTTTTAAGCTCATTAGAATTGCACAAACTCTGTTTTTGCCTTATATGCTCTATTTACATTTTTGTTTGCACATGTTTTCCTAGCAAAACACAAAGAAATGAGGGTTGGCTCAAGACGTTTGTGCAGCACTGAATTCTAATGGACTAAATGCCACATGATTCCCACAAACCTAAGTACCAGCAATCCCTTCATAGCTCACTGGGTGAGTGCAGCACTGGTGGTTGATGCCATGTTTATGGCTCTCTTTAAAAAAAAAAAAAAATATATATATATATATATATATATATATATATATATATATATATATATATATATATATATATATATATATATATTCATTACCATCATCCAGAGTGAAATAAAGCAGGGAAAAGCATGTTTTTGAAACCACAAACTGTATCAGAATTGCTTTTTAAATCACTGAGATATCATGCAAATGTAAACATGCTTCATCTTACATCCAATATGTTAAATGCAAAAAAAACCCACTGTGTTCGAAGACAGCCCATACTACATTACCTCCAGAAAAAATTTATTTTTCTTAGAGAAATATGCAGTCTTGCTCCAAGTTTAACAGAAAATCTGCCAAGAAAACCAATCGCTTAAACAAATTTTAAAACGTCTTGTCTGAAGGGGTCAAAACAGGCGTC